AATCAGCCAACCAGGTGTTCTTGGGCAAACGCTGATCGTCATTAATGAATTCAACCAGCCAGCCAGCCAGTCAGTCTCCATCCTTCGTACCCTGGTGCTGTACAATCCATTGTTCATTCGGAAGCGACCTGGCTGCAGACTGCTGCCTGAGGTCTGTCACACCTGTGGCTACTGCTCTTGTCTTCTGTGGGCCTTCCAAGCGGCTGTGCATGTCCCTTGAGTTGCAGGGTGGGGCAGCACTCTTCCCTTGTTTTGAGGGCTGGAAGGTCCCTCTGGTCAGTTCCTCTGGTCTTCTTTGACTTTCTCTCAGCCCTTCTCTCCCACCTTTTTTTTTTAAGTCAAACGAGGCCAAATATCCTACCAAATGCTAAAATCTGACTTCAAGTTTGGCTACCTCCGAGGTTCTCCAAAGGGAATTTTGTGTTTACCACATAATCTACGATGTAGGTCAGACAACCCCAAACATACCCTACAAGTTTGTGGCGCTCAAGTGACAGATGAACAGAGACTTTTCACAGAACTCGGCTTCATGTTTTCTTCCCTCCAAAACTCCTGGATTCATCCTGTTTGTGTTGCAGCTTCCCTGTGACATCTTCCGTCTTCTCGTCCTTTTGCTCTGTTTGTGCAGTTGGTCCTTGTTTGTGATCGTCTTTTCTTTAGGCAGCATCTTTGGGAATCTGCATGTCCTGCCCAGGGCTGGGAGTGTCTCTCTTGGCGCCCTAGTGGGGCTGGCTGCCTTCCTCTGTGGGTGGGGAGACGGTGGCCATCATCGTGGGGCAGCTTTGGGGAAGAGAGTTTGTGTGGCTCTGGAGTTTGAGGCGCCCTATCCAGCTTGCAGGAGAGGTTTGCACAGCAGAGGATCCCGTGGGAGCCTGGGCCTTGGGGTGGGTGAGGTTGCCCGGGGAAGAGGAGGGAGCTCGGGGACCTCAGCTTATAGGTCAGCAGAGGAGGAGGCTGCGGAGGAGGGGAGCCACGCATGGTGTCCGTCTTCTCTCTCAAGTGGGAGGAAGGACCCGAGCCTAGTGCAGGCGGGGAGAGTGCAGATGAGGCTTAGAGGCCTCGCAGGTCTGGGGCCGCTGTGAATGGACCAGAGGCAGATGAGAGTGACTTCAGAGGGGCCCCAGGAGCCCTGTGGCAGATGCCCCACGGCACAATGCTGTGCTGGGCGCAGGGCCAAGAAAGCCCACAGTCAGTTCCCGATGTGGTGGGTGCTCCTGGGTGGTGTCCCGATGTGGTGGGTGCTCATGGAAAATTTCTTGGCCAGTGCCTGGAGGGCAGGGGACTGGGTGAGGAGGGCGTGTGCCAATGGGGTCTGTGTGGCAAAGGATCTGGGACTTGGAGGTTTAAGGTGGGGGCTATTTATTGCAAACATTTACACATTTAAGGATAAAAGTGAAGAGAAGGTATTGATTGTTGGTGGCAATAAAATGTCCTGGAAGTGGCCCTGGTGATTCACGGATCTGCCAGGTCATTCCCTTTCGTGTTGTGTCCTGCTGTGTCCTGGGAGGGCAGGTCCAGTGTAGGTCAGTGGCCAGGGACCCAGGAGGGCTCTAGAGGGTGGGCCTGTGGGGTTGATGTCAGGCTTCTGGAGTGGGTTGAGGAGGGCTGGGGGCCAGACACAGGGACGTCAGTGTGGGTCTGCATGGTTGGGTCTTCTGGGGTGTGTGTGTTTTTGGTGTGGGTGTTGGGGAGACATGGTGCCTGGTGGGTGTTTGGCAGCCATGGGCATTGCTGGGGTGGTTGGGAGGAAGCTGTTGGGACACGATGGCTATGGGAAGGGTGTGGGTGGGCAGGCGTCTGTTGGGAGGGGGGTGTCCCAGTTGGAGAAGGTGGCAAGGCTTTCTCTGCACTGACGGGGGCCAGGCTGATGGAGTGTCCCCAGCTTTGGGGGACTGTTGGGGTGGACAGTGCCCTGCTGTTTGAGGACAGTGCTTCTCTGCTTAATCAACCTCCTCCTTCTTCTAAGAATCCATGTAAGTGGGTAAGCCGGGAGGCAGATGGCCTAGGGTCAAGTCCCCCTCTTTTGGTAACTAGCTGTGTGATGTTAGACAAGTCACTTGACTTCTCTGTCTCCATTTCCTCATCTGCAAAACAGGAATAATAATAGTACTACCTTGGAGTAACATTTGTGATGACATTGGTCATGTGTGTCAGGTCCTGGAGGAGCACTGGCCTCAGGAAGCTGCGCAGCCGCCATGTTACCGTGATTGCTCTTGCTGGACTTCCCTCTCCTCCTCAGTGTGTCGGGGCTCTCTGCCTTTGGGGGCTCTGCTTCTTTCCCTCATGGCACATTTTTGTGTGCCACCAGTGCTGTGTTTTATTGTTTTGGTCTTCGTCCCTATGCTTAGCACAGACCTCACCCCCATCTTTGGATGTGGAGGACCACCTGGCACAGGGTCAATGCTCACTCAGTGCATGAGTGGAGGGATTCATCAGAATAGGACAAATTTTTTTTTTTTTCCTTTTTGTCTTTTTTCGTGTCCGGCAACGGATCGCAACCCTCAGTGTCGCACCCGTACTGGACCTGGACCGGCAACGGGATCGCAAACCTCGGTGCTGCGCCCGCACCTCGCTCAGCCAGTGAGCGGGAATCGGTCTGTATGTGGGATCCGAACCCTCTGCGGGAGCGCCACCGCGCTCCCAAGCGGCGCACTGTAGCAGTGCGCCACCGGGCCGGCCCCTAGAATAGGACAAATTTTATATCAAGTTTAAACTCAGGAAAGGAGCAGGGCAGTGTCAGTGCACTGAGTGCTTGCTTCTCGACCACCCCGGTTTCAAGAGTGAGTGAGTGCAGGTGTGACGGTGTCGCATGGTGGCAGCTGTGGGCCACAGTGAGACACAGTGAGTGTGGTTTTTGTGTTGCACCCCATCTGTGCTTCCAGGAAGCTTTGTGACTTGATGTGGGTGGGTTGTTTCTTTCATCAAGGCAGCATCTCTTGCTGTTGGGAAAGAAAGCTGAGAGGTTTTCTGTTGCGGAGGAGACTGGCAGGGTCTGGCTGACCTCTGTCCTGGAGGA